GGATCATTTAAGTCGTAGATATGGACATTTCGCCCCGCTGAGCGATCGGGTGGAGGCATGGTATTTTGCGGCGGAGAGGTAAACGTTTTCGGGGGGGAGGACGAGGACGCCATGATGGAAGCCTGGGACGTAAAAGTTGCATTAGAATGGCAACTGGTAGATGGTAGGTGGCAGGTGCAGACTTATAATTAACAGAGGTTGCAAGAGGTTCGGAGTCGATGGGAAGGAGGAAGGAAAGCCTGGCGTACGTGAGCTCGAAGCAGTTTTTTGACTTCTCTTTAGCTGCGAAGCAGAGGGTGTCCAGGCAGCAGCGCAGCCACTACCGGAGCGAGTGCCAAGGCTAGTGAGGCTCAGACGAGATCCGCAGTCCGGGGAAGAAAGAATTAATTACATGTTGGGGCTGGTGAGGCGAAGGCCAGGCACGCAGGCTCTCGGTGCTAGACTCCGACCCACACTGGCTTGCAGCAGGCAGGGCTCTTGACACCTTAACAGGGCTGACAAACGAGGCATGTGGCATTTCAACTGCTCTTACATTTTCTCACTGTGCTGTCTACGCTCCTCAAAGATAACCGCTAGATATAACTCAGACGCTGTTGTTGACGCCTTTTAACAAGCCACTTTCCCACATGTTAATTCCCGTCAGCCTCTGCTGACAAGCCCGTTTCAACCTCCATGCGCATAGCGGACGGCTCGATGATTCGATGATTCGCACTGCTATCTTTAGGCCCATCGTGCCTGGATGCCCGTCCTGAACCCTTTCCTGCGCGCGCTCTTTCAGAGTAGTGTGCTAGGTCATGCGCTCCCCGCCCAGAACTACGTCCTTCTCGTCCCTACGACCGAATCCCTCTTTTACGGCCAGGATCGCGAAACCAACAAGAGGTACGCCGACCATGTCGAAGACGAAGATTTCCTTGGGAGCCACATCCTCCGAATCATCCCTGCGACGGCGGAGAAGGATGGGAATGTCCGTGACACTCGTGGCAAGGCAAAAAACTACTCAACCGTTAATGGGCGCACGGTGATTCTGAAGGAGAACACCGTGTATAGTAACAAGGGATTCAAACATCTGAATCAGGCGACTCTTTTGAGCGACTTGCTGTACTATTCGCCAGGAAATGACATGCAACAATGGCTTGTCTACTACATATCGAAACCTCTGACTGGGCTGTTCGAGGCATTGCCCATCAAACCGGCCATCATCGGGGAGACCAGAATCAACCATGCAATACCTGGCTCCTCGTCCTCATCATCTGAGCCCCCCACACCGAGAAAGAAAGACATCAAGACCTTTGGACAACTATTGGAAAACTTTCCTATGATACAGCGACAGATGCAACCCGGACTAGAAAGATTGTTTAACGAGTTCAGCAAGGAATTAGGAAAGCCTCTCCCACCGCCACCCTCGCGCAGTCCAACACCCAGTACTTTAGATGGGACAACTCAAGCTTCGGAAACCGGGTCTGTCAGATCGAACGGGTCAGTTAAGTTGCCGTTCAACTCTCCCGCCTATTTCGAGGATGAGGAAGATCTTATGCGAACAGCTCTGGAGACTGCTGTCACAGCTGCGATCGATTTGTTCCAAGGCGTCGACAAGCAGCAGCTTTCCTACTTGGGTGCCACAACCGATCTGACAGGTCCTGATGTGGAGAAATTGATCGAGCGTTACGTGGCAGAATATGTCCATCCTACCTTATTATTCCCGCGCCTGTGTTCATTTCATAAGGCGCAAGATCAAGAACTTGATAGGCGGATACGACAGATGGATTGTTTAGACGTCTCTCAGGTTGGCATAGTCCTCGAAGACTGTAGAAAGGGCAAAAGAGACCTCATCAACCGGGTCAACCGTGGTGTCGTGGTGTTTCGAAGGATGGGCGTTGCCGGGAGTCCTCAAGAAATGCTCGACATCCTTCTCGAGACCCAAAAAGTGGTGTCGGAGCCACAAGGCATCTCAGACGAAGAAAAAAGGGCTGTGGCTGCAATGACAATAAACGCAGATATTCTGGTGTCCATGCTCCTCCTAGTGGTTGTCCGCGCCTCCGTTAGGCATCTTCAGGCAAGATTGTCCTATATGCAGCGCTTCATCTATATTGACGACGTCGAAAGTGGCGAAATCGGATATTCTCTGAGTACATTGGAGGCTGTCCTGACATATCTCGCAAGAGATGCTGTTGGTTTGCGAAAGGCATCAAAGCAAAATCAATGGCTGTGGAAAGCCGTAAAATCCGGAAACATTGATGAAGTCAAATCAATATTCGAAGAGTCGGCTATCCTATCAGACGACCTCGTCGATGAACCTGCAGAGATCCCATTGTCCAGAGCAACAACAGCATCAGCCAAATCGTCCGAATCATGTCCGAGAGTGACGTTATCGCGAACTTCGTCGAGTGAGGGTGGCCTGTCACACGTATTCCCTTTTCAGGCAGTAGAGCGAAAGAATTTGCTACCCAAGCAGAAGAAGAAGGTGCAAATGGCAGCTAGGAGCATGTCAGTCTCATCAGCGTATTCACAATCCTCTCGGGCCGCAACAATTGAGACATCGCTGAGCGGGATTGAGGGCGACACGTCTGTGCAGAGTCTGGCTCAAACACAGGATGCTGCGGGAAATTCGGTCCTGATGATGGCAGTCGAAAACCAGCGATCAGAATGCCTTCGATATCTGTTGAGTCTTACAGAATATTACAGTACTGAAGCAGTGTTGTCAGATGTAACACAGGAAGGGGCAACATTACTGAGCGCCGCAGTACAGTTGGCCAACATGGATTTGGTTGATATCATCCTCGGCTATGCCGAACAACACGCCGACGAGCAAGTATTCCGCGAATATCTATCTATAAAGGACTCTCGAGGACGGAGTGTGGCACACTACCTGTTCAATACTCCTCAGCTGATCAAGAGACTCGCAAATGTCCTTCCGTGGCGGCAAAAGGATAGAATCGGCCATACCCCTTTGTTTGCGATTTGCCGAACTTATGACCACCCTGACTATAGCAGCATGGTTTCCGAAGCCCTGACCGCTGCAAAGGAAGCTCAACACGAAGGGGGTCCACTCCGTGTGGAAGACCACATAGACAACAAGGGCAACTCCTTGCTGCATATCGTCAATGATGCCGCCATCCTCCAACGGATCCTACAAACTTGCGAAGTTGATCTGAATGCCATGAACGACAAGAAATTTACCCCCTTGATGCTGGCAAGCAAGTACGGGAGAGTAGACATGGTTCGAATTTTCCTGAGCGACCCACGAATAGATTTGCATCTACGGGAGTCTCGTGGGCTGACTGCTGTGGAACTGGCGAAAGATGACGAGGTGCGGAATCGGATTGACGACTTGACCTTGTTCTCGCCTTCCAATACAGCCGATGCTACGGGACGGATTACAGCAATTGTCCGGTCATTCTTCGTCGAGGATGGTTCAACAAGATTTATTCTCAAGTCGGGAGCTCCAAACCCTGCGGTCTCAAGCACAACCTATACCATCACCACAAGCCGGCGCTCCTTACAAGACTTCGAAAACCTGGCAAAATGGCTCTTGATGGATTTTCCAGCGTCATACATGCCGACGGTGCTAGCCTCGAACTTCCGTAATCCATTCCAGCTACACTCCCGACCATCCCGTGCCGCGTTGTATGATATACAAACCAATCTCGACCGGTTCCTGAAAATTCTATTGAAACATCCTACTTTCTCCACGCACGAAATGCTCTGGGAATTCTTCCTCGTCCCAGATATGCAGCAAGAACAGACAGCGGACCGAGCCCGCCTGAAGGCAGAACTGATACAAGAAAAGATTAACGATGAATATGACCCTCTCATATCTCGGGCAGACATGATTGCTGTGGACGGTCTGGTTTCTCATTCGAGAGACATTGTACGGAAAATCAACATCTGCACCAGATCGTCCATCCGGAAGGGTCATGCTTATGTTCAAGCACAGGCGGATTTTGCAGAGGCGCTGAGCTTATGTTCGGTGGCATTTGCAACGATGGGAACACCTGCAGCGACACTTTCGAAGATGCACGTTGACGCTTTTTTGAAATTTGCGGCTTTGATGCATTCCGAGCCGGCGAGTTCTCCTCTGCAGAACTACATTTGCAGTTTGTCCTCGTTTCAATCGACAGTTGCGGCTGTGCAATCCGCACTACTGAAGCCGAGCGCATTGATTGACCGGATTACGGCCGCCCAAAGAGCGATGGAGAAGGATAAGTCAAACTTGGCGAATAACTCGACTCCTAGAAAAGGAGTCTTAAAGAATCTCAATCTGCCTTTTCCGGGCACGGAAGAATCACGTATAAAGGTTGTTAAAGATACGGAGAAGAAGATCTTGGAGAGAGGATTGGAGATTGAGAAATTGGGCCGAGAACTGAGATATTCTCAGGAGGTGGTTGTTGGAGAGCTGGCCGGTTGGACAACCTGGAGGCAAGAAATGGGCCGCGGAGAGATGAAGAGGCTTGCTCGAGGGATTGTGGTCCGGGAGCAGGAACGGCTGAAGGCTATGGAAAGAGTCCTCAGAGCATTGAAGGGGAGCTGATTGATAGCCATGTTTGGATCCCGAGACCTGCAAAGCATCGGCGGCTTCAAGGTACAGGGAGGACAGAGAGGGGACGCGTGTCTTGCTCTTCTTTGTACCTAATGTTTTAGTGGCAAGCGAAGGATATCGATGGGGTCGAATTGGCGTGTGTGTGTGTGTATAAAACCTGCGACAGCGGATGAGGTCGATTCATCAGTCAATCATACCCAGCCGGGATGGGATTCTAATATAGACCAGTATGTTGTACATTTTTCGTCGTCAAGACGTTCCATACGTTCTTTTGTATTGGTTGTTTTATTTCATTCGTTCGATCATACATTCTTCTGGGTTACACTTAATTGCGTCTCGTCTCATCGTCGTGCCAGGCAGGCCAGTGCTGGATGGAACTCAGGCGCGGCTAAGACTCTATACCGCTTCACATCACCGCCTGGTCTATTCCCCCCCCCCCCCCTTTTGGTGCGTAACAAGTCAATCAGCCATGCGTGACCTTCTTGACTGTCCCGTCCTTATCGACGTGAATGTTCAACCTGTTTAATGCAAGAAGGTGGAAAAGGTGCAAGTGTTAGCCCGGACCAGTTCTTGACAAGACGACAGGTAGATTTCTCGACCGTGCTTCGCTCGTTCCTCTTCGTCTTCCATCACTACCTACCAATTGAATGCTTCATCCATCATTCATTCACTCATTCATTCAAGCGACCGAGACACACAACCAACAGAACAAGCATACCAAAAAGGACAGGAGAAAAAAAAATGTCCATACGTACCGGTCCGGGTTATGGTCCATGGTCATCATGCCGCCCTCCTCGACGACGCGGTGGTTCTGCGGCAGGTCCTTCTTGGCAAACTGCGTCTCGTTGCTCGTCTCGCCCAGCCTCTTGCCCATCAGCTTATTCATCCATTCCCCGGTGTTTGCGTTGCCGCCACCGCTGGAGCCGGTGTTGGTTATGCCGGGGACGACGAGAGGCATCTTTGTAAAGTTTTGGGAAGGGAGATACGGGGTAGATAGGTGGCGAGGTAGGTCGATAAGGTAGGTAGTGTCAAGGATCAAGGATCAATGTGAGGTGAGGGTGAGGGTGAGTGTGTGAGGTGGGAAGTCTGTCTTTTGTCAATAGTATACTGAGGGAGAGAGAGAGAGGGATTGATATCGCTACTGTCACGGTGGGATAAGGTCCAGTTCAGATATACCAGAAGAAGAAAAAAGAAAAAGACGAAAGGAAAAAATGGAAATGAAGAGACTGATAAGAGGGGCCTTTTTGTACAAAACTTGTTCCGTTTGATTGATTGATGCCTGGTCCTTGTCCCTCACATGCCTGATGATATACAGTTTTGCGTGCCCAGATGGAGAGGCACAGAGGGAACAGCCATGACGTCGTTTAACCGAGACTAAGCAGCCTTTGGTGCAACTCCTTCCTGCGTCATTGACAATTGAACAAGCAAGCCCTGAGGTCAAAATTTGTTGTACGAGGCACATGTACAATTAATTGCACGCCCCCCCAATAAGACATTTTTCTCGAGCGAAGAATTATTTTGTTATTTTTTAGAGCCCCTTCCCACCCTCTCCCTACTTGAAGAGGCAAACGTGGCTGGTCAAGTTAGCAGCCCTTATCCATGACTTATCCAGATTTGCCCCCTTCCCAGCCCTCCGTGGAGGCCCGTTTGATGTCAGGATCCATGGTGCCATGCTCGTCAAAAGGGATAAAAGTACATTTGCTTTGGAATTCCTTCTCCAACAGCCAGCCATCAAGTTTGGAACAAGAATGTTGATCTAAAAGCACACACATCAGGACCGAGATGAGTTTGATCCTGATAACAGACACACGCCTAAGAGGGTAGAATCCACCTTTGTTTCCGCAGGTTGCTCTCGTTTAAACGCGAAGATATCGGCATCCTCGACTGCAACTTTTTTTTTGGCACCAGAGAGATTAAATGTAGTCTCTGGCCGCCTTCTGCAATTCGATCATCCTCCACCCTCTCGTCTCGGGATTGTTGACTTCTTCTGGTATCCTCGTCACGCCAATGGCATACGTGACCAACTGAACTTTATCTTCCATCCCTGCTGCCAATTCATTCGTCTTTGCATTCCGGTAGACGTGGACTTCTTGTGTCCGACAAGTGATGATGAAGACAGGGATATCGCCAGGTTCCAGTAATCGAGCATTCAAAATGTCGACATGTCTGATGTCCAGAATTCGTCCATCCGACTTCAAACCGGCTTTGGTGTATTGTTCCATGAGAGCCGAATAGACCTGGAATTGTGCCGCCGAGAGCCACAATTTCAAAGTTTCGACGTCGCCTTTAACGTATGCGTCGAGCACTTCTGGCAAAATGTATTCTCGCATGTCACGCAGGAAAGGCTCCAACTGGAAAGACGGGTCCATTTCGCGGAATTTCTTGATGACCATAGCCGTCTCATTCTCCGCAAAAAAACCAGCAACACGGTCGGAGATGGAGCGCGCCGTCGATATTAAAGGGTTTTCGGACTCTTCGTACGTAGTTTTCATGTTGAAGAGACTCTGCATTAATTTGGAATTCTCCTTGAAATTGGTCCATGACTCTCGCCATGCCGAGTCTTTGTGAACCGTAATGTTGGTTCCAGCACTGCAATGTTTGTCAGAATAAGATCTCACACACAATTTTACCATTGTGGACTTACTTTGGATCTTCAACCATGGGTTCATGATTTTTGTTGGGTGATTGTGCTTCTTTCAATCTTCTGGCTTCTTCCCTTTTCCGTCGCTCTTCTTTCTCTATCCAGCCACCATATCTGGAGCTACTTCCATCATCAACTGCTTCCGAAACATCCTTGAACGCCTTGGTTTCGCGAATCGGCCGGGTGGCTTTTTCGATTCCGCGACCGGTAGCGTTGACTCCTTTTCGCACACCCTGCACGACGGGCGTTTCCCAGGCCCAAGCTGCGCCTTGTCCAATAGCACTGGCCGTGCTCTTCAAGACTTGCGACGTGCCCTTAGAAGCGGCCTCAGATGCCTCTCGCGCCCTTCTTACAGCATCGGACTCGGTAAACTGTTGGACGGAGCCCGAGAGTTGTTTTGTAGACTCATTCCATTCTTTGGACGCCTTAAATTCCGTTCGAAGCGTGTCGACAAAAACTTGCCACGGAGTTTTGTCGCCATGGGGTGGTGGTGGAGGAGGAGATTCTTTTCCTTCCTTTCCTTCTTTTTCTTCCTTTTCGGATTTTTCTTCCTTCTGGTCCTTTTCCTCCTTGCCCTCACTTGCTTCTTTTTCTGGTTGGCCGTCCCGTGGCGGATCCCGAACCTCTTGTTTGGGGTCTTCCTTAGGCTGGGTTTGTTGGAATCGAGCTCCGGAAGTGTGCAGTGATCGAAGGAGAGTTTGGCTCGACAGAGTGAGTCGGGGGGAGAATGGCGTCAGGTGTAATGGGGAATTGAAAGATCTTGAGGGTTCGTCCGACGAGAGTAATCTTCTGTACACTGCTGTCCTTCCATACTGCGCCGACGCTCGGAGCGTGGAAAATTGACTGGTGGCTGTCACATAATGACGGACACCATGGACAGGTGCGCGACGCAATACAGTCATGCTACGGAGCGGATATCTGCAACCAGGAATAAAGAAACGAGCAGAGCACTGAAAGAAAATACTTCAGCAAGCTCGTTCATGGTCAGTTGATGCGTCTTTGAAGACGGCGGAGGAAATATCGAATTTCGGTTCCGGCTAAGCTTCCTGTTCCGTTTCTCTGTAAATCCAATTCTATCTTTCTCGACACACACGACCTGCACAATGCTGGGCCATTAGTCTACCGGCAACGACAAAACATCACAGCCCGGGAAAAATGGCGCATCCAAGGCCTCCTTTACTTTTGTCCATGTGTAGATCGTGCAGGAACACCTACCTCACACAGTCACGACGCACCATCTCGGACTCAAGTCCAAGCTCCTCCAGAGAACCAGAGCGGCAGCCCAGCAGACTCTCTGAACGCCTTGGGATCAAAGTCAATGAGGAAACCCCAGCAAAGGAGACGGATGCTTTGAGCCAGTTCCACGAGCTCCTACGTGGAAGTTCAAACAGCAACGCATCGTCGCAGACTACAAACAATTCGATGCGCTCCATCTTCCAAAGAGACCTCCGGAACGTCGCACAATCTGCACAAGCAGAATCCGCGGCACGACCTTCTGTCAGGAGCTCGTACACGGACGAGCCTTATCACATAAACGTCTACGCCCACCGACACAACACCCACATCACATTCACGGAACCCAACCGCAACCCGATCTTGTCCTTCTCGTGCGGCAACCTGGGACTGCGCAACGCGCAAAAGGCATCCTACGATGCAAGTTTCCAGCTCGCAGCATACACGTTTCGCAAAATGGCAGAGAAACAGTGGAAGCTGGGAGGCAGCAAAAGTAACAAACATAACAACAACCCGTGGTGTACACTATCGAGTATAAAGAAACCCGCGTACAGTGGCTCCCCGGGTGCAGGAATCGAAGTCATCTTCCGAGGATATGGGCCAGGTAGAGAGGCCTTCCAGAAAGCACTGCTGGGAACGGAAGGCAGAATGATTAAGCCTCTGATCGCGAAGGTGACGGACGGGACGAGGTTGAAGTTTGGTGGCACCAGGAGTCCCCAGGTGAGGAGATTGGGTTGAGCGAGGGGAAATGTATTTATTGTACGACTATGGATGGTTGCATAGAGGAAATTATCGATGAGTTCTGCTCCCCGGATGCAGACTCGCCGGCAGAATATCTATCAGACTCTATCTGGAACTGATCACCAAGAATGCACCTCGCTGTTCATTCCATAAGTATATTCAATATCCACCTGGTGAACTCGAGAAGTAGTCACCGGCACTAACCGGACTCAACCTCGCCGGCGACGGGCTCGAGCTCCCCTCCGAGTTCTGATCCATATTCTTACTTCTCGAACGTGGTATTTGCAGCGCCCCTGTACTAGATACTGTGCGATGGGGCTCCAAAAGCGCCGGCTTGTCCCTGAAGCCGACGCCGACGATGACCCTCCGCAACGCATCGCCCCTCGGATCGATCCCCATCATGAACCGGGCCAGTTCGGCGCACAGCTCAAAATCTCCCTTTTGCCGGGCCAGAGTCATCAGGCGGATGACGTAGCCTTCGAATTTACGGGCGTCGTAGGACTCGGACTCGTCGTTGCCCTCTTCCAGACCCTGGAGGACGATGAGGTAGCCGCCGGCGGTTTTGAGGTCCTCGAGCTCGAGGGCTTGCTCGAACAGGGCCAGCGGGGGCGGGAGGTGCGCGAAGAGCGTGCGCCACGACGATAGCTCTGTCTTGCGGATGCACTGCACCACGGTCGATAGGTATGTTGTCGGTGAGAGGACGAGTTGGAGAAACGAGAGGACAGCTGGCAATGGCCCTTGTGCGCCATCGTCATCTTTGTCCTTGAGTTTGGTTCTGCGGTCAACTTCATCATCGAGGACGTTGTGGAGCAGTATTTCCAGTGCATGTGGAAAGTATGAGAGGTTCTGGTACTGGTTCGCCAGGCCGAATGCGGCGGCGGTGTCGCTTGCTTCACACAGTTGGTGACGAAGTATATAGGGGAGGAAAAGCTGTGTGCGGATGCTGGAGCGAAATTGGGCAAAGTTGACGTCTCGCCGCTGGAGAAGCTCGGATTCAATCCCCAGCACAACACCTTTGGTGAGGAGGATGGATAAAGGGTAGAAGTCGATTGACATAGATAGTACTGGTGATGTCTGGAGTTCTCCCGGACCATGGTGGAACAGATCCCGCACATCTGGCCAGAGACGAAGCTCATCACCGCTGAATGTCCAGAGAGAGTCTCGTAGTGAGTAATTTTGCTGGCTTCGTATTGTGAATGCTGAGCCAGCTGATGGTGTGGGTGGCGCTGATTCATCTGGCCCAGTGCTGAAGTTGAAGTATATCTGATCGCGCATGAGTATGTAGTACTCGACATGCTGAGCAATGACTCGCATATCGTATTTGAGCTCGTCCCTTTCGTTAC